TTCTCCAGCAATGGATTCCAGTGAAAAACAAATTTGTGAAATCCAGAAAATGAATTCAAAATACTGACATTAAAGAAGCTCAATATAAGAGGTTTCAGATAAACAATATTTAAAAATTTGAAAAACAATTCAGGATATAAATAAGAAATTTGTACCAAAGACATAGATATCATTAAAAAGTACCTAAGGAGAGTGAAAGTCACCTGGTGACCACTCAACAGACCCGGAGACAAAAACTTCTTATCTGAGCAATTTAGAATGGAGCAAAGACTACCTGGCAACCACCAAATAGGCCATCCAGAGGCAAAACCCCTTATCTGGGGAATTTAGAGGTAATCAAACCTCCGTAGTATCTGAAGTTGGCATCTGATTCCAGTCCTCTTTCAATTTTTGTAACTAAAATTTCTATATATCCCATGCTGAAAATAGTGTTATAACCCTAAGCTACCATCCTAAGGCCTATAAATGCTCCTAAGGAAAATCCACCACAGTGCACTGCTCTCTCACTGAGGCACCCTGCTGTACCCTTTTGCAGAGTTCTTCCTTTCTAATAAACTTTCCTTTTTCAAACTTAACTGTTGTCAGTAAATTCTTTTTACCAACCCATGAGTTGACCACTTCCTGGTGCCAGGGCTCTGACACCTTGCCCAGCAATCCCCAAATAGACACACTTGAAAAAGGTATTCTCCACAGCACATTACAATCAAACATCAAAGGCAAAGACAGAATTCTAAAAACAAGAGAAAAGCATCTAGTCACTTAGATGCTTAGAATCCCCAGCAGACTACAAGCAGATTTCTCAAAGAAACCTTACAGGCCAGGAGAGAATAGGATGATACTATACCCAGCAAAGTTATTCTTCATAAATGAAGGAGAAATAAAGTCTTTCTCAAACAAGCAAAAGCTGAAGGAATCTATCACCACCAGGCTGACCCTTCAAGAAATAACTAAGAGAGCCCTATACCTAGTAGCAAAAGATAAATATCTACCACCATGAAAACACATCAAAGTATAAACCCACTGGTAGAGCAAATACACAAATAAAAAAGAGAAAAGATTTAAATGTTACCACTACAGAAAAAAACCAACCACAATGAAAAATAATATGAGAGAAACAAAGGAAGAAACGCTACTCAAAAACTAGAAATCAATTACTAAAATGACAGGAATAAGCCTGTCATATCAATAATAACCCTGAATATAAATGAATTAAACTTTCCACTTAAAAGATACAGAAGGGCTGAATAAATTTTTTTAAATGATCCAACTATATGCTGCCTACAAGAAATTCATCTCATTTGTAAAGACAGACTGAAAGTAAGTGATAGAAAAAGATATTCCAAGTGAACAAAAATCAAAAGCAAACAAGAACATCTATCCTTATAACAGATTAAACAGACTTTAATTTAAAAATAATAACAACAAGGTCATTATAAACTGATAAAAAGATCAACTCAACAAAAAGATATAACATATCTTTTTCTAAACATATATGATCCCAACACCAGACCACTCAGTTCTATCAAGCAAACATAATCAGACCTAAAGGGAGGGACAGAATCCAATACAGAAAGCGCTAGGGACATCAACACCCAATTCTCAGTATTACACAGATCATCTAGACAGAAAATTAACATAGAAACACTGGATTCATGGGAGGCCGAGGCGTGTGGATCACGAGGTCAAGAGATCGAGACCATCCTGGTCAACAGGGTGAAACCCCGTCTCTACTAAAAATACAAAAAATTAGCAGGGCATGGTGGCACATGCCTGTAATCCCAGCTACTCAGGAGGCTGAGGCAGGAGAATTGCCTGAACCAGGAGGCGGAGGTTGCAGTGAGCCGAGATCGCGCCATTGCACTCCAGCCTGGGTAACAAGAGCGAAACTTTGTCTCAGAAAAAAAAAAAAAGAAAAAAGAAACACTGGATTCAAACTGCACTTTAGACCAAATGGGCATAACCTGTTGGGATGAAACAGGTAAGAATACACACTCTTCTCATTATAAATTTTAAAAACTTTTAAAAATCAACAAATTTTTTAAATTCAAAATCTATCAAGTATCTTTTCTGACCACAATGGAATGACACTAGAAATTAGTAAGTCTCTACTAAAAATACAAAAATTAGCCAGGCGGGGTGGCACACGCATATAATCCCAGCTGCTCGGGAGGCTGAGGCAGAGTAACTGCTTGAACCCAGGAAGCAGAGGTTAGTTACAGTGAGCCGAAACTGAGCTACTGCACTCCAACCTGGGTGACAGAACAAGATTCTGTCTCAAAAAAAGAAAAAAAAAAATCAGTAACAAAAAAAACTTTGGAAACCGTACAAAATACATGGAAATTAAATGGGTCAAGGAAAAAATTAAGGAGGAAATCAAAAATGTTCTTGAAGCCAGGTGTGGGGACATGTGCCTATAATCCCAGCTACTCAGGAGGCTGAGGCAGGACAATCGTTTCAGCCCAGGAGTTCTGCAGTGAGCTAGGATCACACCACCACACTCCAGCCTGGTTAACAGAGTGAAACTGTCTCTAAAACAACAATGAAAAGTTCTTGAAACAAATGAAAGTCAAAAAGCAATATACCAAAACCTATGGAATATGACAAAAGCAGTGCTGAGAAGTTTATACTAATAAATGCCCACATCAAAAAAATAGAAAGATTTCAAATAAACAATCTAACAATACAGCTCAACAAACTAGAAAACCAAGAATAACCTAACCCAAAATTAGTAGAGGGAAAGAAATAATAAAGATCAGGCTAGACTGAAAAAGAAAAACAATACAAAGGATCAACAAAATTAAAACTTGGATTTTTGAAAAGAACAAATCAATAAACCACTACCTTGGTTAACCAAGGTAGTGGTTAAGGTAACCAATGAAAAAAAGAAGACCCAAATAAATGAAGTCAGAAATGAAAAAGGAAACATTACAACTAATGCCACAAAAATACAAAAAAAAACCCATCAAGTTATTATGAACAACTATACACTAATACACTAGAAAACCTAGAGAAAATGGATAAATTATTAGACATACACAGCCTGCCATGACTGAATCAAGAAGAAACAGAAAACCTGAACAGACCAATAATGAGTAATAAGATTGAATCAGTAATTTAAAAAAGAAATCTCCCAACAAAGAAAAGTTCAGGATTGGATGGCTTCATTGTCAAATTTGACCAAACTTTTTTTTGTTTTGTTTTTAAAGACAGAGTCATGCTCTGTTGCCCAGGCTGCAGTGCAGTGGCACGATCTTGCCTGACTGCATCCTCTACCTCCTGGGTCCAAGTGATTCTCATGCTTCAACTAACCGAACAGCTGGTATTACAGGCATATACTACCATGCCCAGCTAATTTTTGTGGGTTTTGTGTGGGTTTTGTTGTTGTTGTTGTTGTTGTTGTTGTTTGTTTTGAGATGGAATCTCACTCTGTTGCCCACGCTGAAGTGCAGTGGTGCAATCTTAGTTCACTGTAATCTCCACCTCCCGGGTTCAACTGATTCTCCTGCCTCAGCCTCCCAAGTTGCTGGGATTATAGGCATGCACCATGACGCCCAGCTAATTTTTGTATTTTTGGCAGAGATAGGATTTCACCATGTTGGCCAGGCCGGTCTCAAACTCCTGACCTCAGGTGATCCACCCACCTCGGGCTCCCAAAGTGCTGGGATTACAGGCGTGAGCCAGCACACTCGGCCAGAAATAAGTGTTTTAAAACATAGGATTATATATACAGGCATACATATATACACGTACAAAATCTGCATTTGTCCCTAACAATGCAATTTAAACAACCTTAAATATCAATATATATACTTCTGTAACATAATCTTTGCAATATAGTATTACACTGGGCAGGTAACATAATTGCTAAGTTAAAATCTAAGGTTTTTTTTTCCAATTTACACTACTCATTCATATATGGAAGCTAAATAAGTTCATCTCATGGAGGTAGGGTAGATTGATAGATACAAGTGTCTAGGAAGGGTGCTGGGAGTGGTGGGGGTGAGGTGGTGAGGGGAAGAGAGGTTGGTGAATGGGTTATAAATATAGCAGAGTAGGCTGACTATAGTTAGCAACAATGTTGTAAATTTCAAAATAGCTAGAGCAGTGCCACACACTGCAGCCCCATGACCTGATATGCAACACAGAAAGATTATCACTACCTGCTACTCAAGTTTCCTTTACTTCAAAATAAAAAATAATAGTACTCCAGTAAAACATTTCTGTTTTCAGACACAACCGTAGTCCAAACCATGTTCTCCAAGATCCTACTCTCTGAGCTGCTTTACCTGTGGCTGTATTTCCTCTGGAATTGCCTAACCCAAGCGGCCTGCTATAATTGCTAAATACAGGGTGGCTACAGCAAGCTTCTTGAGAAAACTGCTTTATAGGACTCTCAAAACAGCAAAGATTCTAGATAACATGCAGGGGTTAGCATATCCCTATAATATATCATGGTTTTACTCTAGCACAGTTGTTACCAAGTTGATTAGAAACACTGGTGGAACTTTTAAAAAGAGTTTGCTGGGCTCTGTGCTCTTCCAAGTATACCTTCACTCAGCCACACTCCCCTGAAGACTAACTGAGTAGGTCTATAGTGAGGCTGAGTAAAAAAAAAAAAAAAAAAAAATTACCTAGATCCTTGCTATTCAAAATGTGGTCCAAGTATCAGAAGCATCAGCATTAATTGGGAGCTTATTAGAAACGCAGATTCTCAGGTCCCATCATACCTACTGAATACAAACCTGCAGCTCAACAAGGTCTCCAAGTGATTAATACAAACATTCAAGATTTGAAAGAACTGCCCTACATGATTCTAATGTGTAGCCAAGTTTCAAAAGCAGTGCTCTTCTTAACCCTCTAGTTCTCAAAATATAAAATCAAGTATATGAATACAGGTAAAATGTCCTTTAATTATTGCAAAGAGGCTAAGGTGAAAATCAAAAGCAATTCATTTTTAGGGGGTCCCAATCATGTTCCGTAGCTACCATAATTTTACTTACCCTTGCATTACGTATGGAAACTGGTGACTCTGTGCTGGGTCAGTTTGTACTTGTGGAAGGGTACGCTGCCTCAATCCTTCCGAGGAAGAACTCGCAGCTAAGGACGAGGTTTCTTGACTGGATGATGGAGTTGTTGATCCTGAATGATCTGAACTCTACAAACAAAATGTAATTTTTAAAAGGAGATTTAGTTCTTTACAAAATTACAGGCACATTACTAAAAATGTATTCATGAAATCCCTCTGTAAAATAACTAAATTTCAGAAATTTACTGTTTTAAATCTTGTGTCCAGCATAATAGATATTTTAATTTTGATAAGTCAAAGCTTATCAAAACTACTTAATTAAATTACAGTATTTCATTTTTTCAACTAGAAATGGCTGAGGAGAATAACAATATATATATATAAACAGCATATTAAATTCTGAGGATTAAACTAATGCATAAAAAGCTCTTTTCACATGATTAAATTAATGCATGCAAAACGCCTTTCATGATGCCTAACACATAGAAAGCGCTCAATAAATGGTACTAATTACTGAGTCATTTAAACAGTTACTATGTTCCAAGTACTTTATAACATGCTATTGGTAGCACATTGGTTTAAAATAATGAGAAACAGGCTAAAAATCAAAAGATCTAAAACCTAGTGTTACCTCTGACATTGACAAGTATAAGCTTAAAGGTTCACTTAACCTCTCAGAGTCTCCACTTTCCTACAGAAAATGAGATTGGACTAAATTTTCAAGATTCCTTTCAGTTCTAAAATTCTATTAATTTATAGAAATCACCAACAAATACTGCTTTTCTAGAAAATGAACTACTAGAATCAAGGTGTTAATCAGGATTTTTTTATTCTCATTCTCAAATGATGTCAGTAACTCATGGATTCAGTAACCTTTAAACAATATAACTCCCTGAAGACCATCCCAGTTTGTTTGAAAACAGTTTGTCAAGTGTTTCATGTACATTTAAAACATAATTACATTTTACATAAATGACGGTTCTTCCACTTTGAAAAGCTGGATATAGTATTATTTTATTTGTTAAATTGTATTTGACCTGTACTGCCTTCTTATTAACAGGATGTCTTTTTGCAAGTCTTCCACTAAGTCCTGCCATGTGAAAGGTCCAAAGCATAGCAGTCTTTTGCAAAACTAACAAAAACTTTCTTTAAAATGTTACTTCACACACAATAGACAACAAATATCTTACTAAGGAGTCTGATTCTTAGGAATAGAAACTGGGAAAGGCTTCTTTTTCAGCAAGATTTCTCATTAAATGGGCCATCATAATATGGTGTTCATTAATATAACTATTAGAAGAAAAGCCTAGTCATTTGGCAGCACAACCTAATTTCTCTAGAACTAATGATTTCTGACCTTATTAGGTAATTATTTTATGATTAGATCTTTAAAACATTTAAATCCCTTGAAATTTCTGAGCCATGAAAAATTAAGGTGAATTCAACTTAACATTCCTTTGATACTTTTCAGACTTTCGTAACACTGAAAAAAACAAATACACACGCTAATGACACAAAATCATGGCTGAGGAACCCACTGGACAAGCCAAAGTCAGAGGGTTCTTTCCCAACAAAAATTGGAGCAATGCAACTGTGTCCATCGACTACAAAAAAATACTCTGTGCCAATGCCAATGTCTGTGGCTTTCCATGCCGAGGCAGAAAACATATAAAGACCCTTGGGTGTTTTGATAAAGCATATTTGATTTAGTTTAATATAAGCTAATTTCCCATGACTGGTACTAGAAAATACTTACCATTAAGGGAATACTAATGAAATACAGCAATTGTGGGAGCTAGTTTCTTGAAGCAGCAGTTAACTGGTATCTATGGAGAGAGCAATCAACTAGTTCCCAACCCTGTCACTCGTGCCCTCTTTCAAGCTTTGGCTGGATTTTTAAAAAGGAAAGCATACTTAGCAGTATAAAAGTTCCCTGCCTGCTCAAGAAGTTGAAAGCAAGCTTCCACTCATCCAATCCTCACACCTGCAAAGGTGTCACAGAAAGCTCTTAAGGGAAATCAAAAATAACACAATTTTTGGATTGGGAACAATGTCTTTGAAATGTGTTGAAAATGTCTAAATTGAGAAGATTGACTACTACAAAACATTTCCAAAACAATTTTAGGCAGATGGAAAAATAAGGATGGAGGAATGAATACCCAAGTTGGAAAGACATTAGTACATTAAGTATTTCCTCCCCCAGCAGGTGGAATGTATGCGCAAATCCAGTCATTCTAAAAACAAAATCCTTGACCAACCCATCTACTTCAAGAAGATTTAGGGTACTTAAATTTTAAACAATCTAATCCACCTTGAATCAAATATACTACTTTAAATACCTCACATATTTCTGAAACATCATTGGCCTAAGAGTTTATATTATATAACCATAAACATAATTCTGTTTTCTGAGTACTCCAGTAATTAAATATTTGAAAATTAAATCTATTACTGACCTGCCATACAGCAAATTATAACTCATGTTGAATAGACTTCAAGGGATATTAGACCTTTCAAAATGGTAAATTTTACAAAATGCCTAACTTTAATTCAAAACACAATCTCAAAATCCACAAGCTCCAATCGTTGTTTTTCATTTTTTAGAGGTAGATAATAATAATAATAATAATAATAATAATAATAATAGTCAGAAAACTTCAGCGTTTACTCCTCCCAAAACAACTCACAGAATTGCTGCTGGATGCCAATGCTTCACGACTTTCTCTATTGGTGCTGGATTTTGGAGAACTGGGAGGAGTCCGAGAAGTACATACTAGATGAACCATATGATACTCATCTTGCTAAAATTAAAGAAGATTACATTTAAAGGGTAGTACTAGAAGCTGTACAGTTCAAAAAGTCAGTAAAGTGAAATACTTAAAACGTAGGTCCCTTTCTAGCCTACCCATTCTATTAGTGATTTGAAGGTAAGTTTGTCATTTTATTTGGGACCCTTCTGAATTCAGTATTTTCTCCATGCTTGGAAAATGATCTAAATATTCTGCAATTGCTGTATTAAAAAATTATTTTGCATACGAAGCAGTCTTAAAGCAAACAATGTTGTTAAAGTTGTATCAGCACAATCTATCATTTCAGCACAAAAACATCTAGCACCTTAAACTTTGTACAGTTTACATATTTCCATCACTTGAGACTTGGCAACTATAAAAGAAACTCAACTTCATCATAATCTCATTTGCCTTAATTTTAGCAAAGTTGATGTTTTTTTACTCTTTTTTGAGTCAAAAACTATTTTTATCTATAACACCTATATGCAGATATAAAGCATACATTTAAACTATATTCTGTAAATATCTCATGTTTTTCTATAAACCTACAGATAGGACTGAAGAAAAATATTCTAAATAACGATTAGGGTTGGCATTTTAGCTCAGTGAGATCATGAGCATATACTTAGACATAAAGCTAGTAAGATGGGAAAAGTAAAGAAGGAATGAAGGAGGACAGAGAACAATGAAGGGTGAGTTAGCAATTAAAAAAAAAAAAAAAAAAAGAACCAAATAACAAAGGAAAAGGAGTAGGAAGAAAGATACCCAAATGATGAGAAAGGGAAACAAAGCTACTAGAAACTATGAATGTATCACTTGCCTACCATGAACCTATAATTGTACTTAATTTGAAGGCAAATTCAAGTAAGGGTACAAGGCCCTTCCTTAAAGAGGCTCATGATATTGTTAAGACATTAGACTAGTACACTACAGCACAATTACAGAAACATAGAGAACAGTCTTTTGCATGAAACTGAGAAGCCCAACCTTAACTGCTTTAGAAGTTTGGAGGAAGAAGTTACTAAGGGATAGAATGCTAAAGAAAGGTTTCAAAGACAGCACAACAGAAGGTAAACCTAGCAAAGCAGGCTGAAGACACTCCTAATTTACAATGTCCCCCTTAGCTTCTGAATACAGAATATTAAAAAGCATACAAGTATAAGACGTTGATCCTTAGAAACCTAGCTTCAAAAGGTCATTATTAATCACAATTAATTCACAGAATTTATCTTGGGAATGTTTCTATAAAACATTTTATACTAAATAGGTAAAGCTAATGGCAGCATTTAAACTGAAAAAAGGGTACACTAACTTTAACAAAAACAATTGAAAGAACTATTCAAAATATAAACTTACTACTCAAAATGTTTTATATAGGCGCACAATAGTTCTTTGACTGAAGCAGTTTTTTATTTTAAGTTGTCTGGCCTGAAACCATTTCTGACAGCAAAAATCTTTCAAAAGTCTTCATGTGCAAATTTAAGCTATCTTTGGGGCAAAATATCTAATATATCTGTATTTCAAAGAACACATAGCAGAAAGGACTATATTGAAATATATTTTAGTTCTGAGCACCAGCATAAAAACAAGAAAAAAAAGATAGCCAGAACACAGAGGTTTTTAGGGCTATTCTGAATGACACTAGGCTGGTGGAGACATGTCATTACATATTTGCCAAAACCCATAGAATGTACACCAACAGTGAACCCTAATATAAACTACAGACTTTGGGTGATAATGTATGTCATCGTAGGCTCACTGATTGTAACAAATGTACCACTTTGGTGTGGGATGCTGACAGTGGGGCAGGCTGTGATTATGTGGGGTCAGGGAATGTATGAGAAATTGCTGTACCTTCTGTTCAATTTTGCTATGAACCTAAAATAGCTCTAAAAACTTGTTTAAAAAAGAGAGGAAAGAAAGAAAAAATAATAATCTGCTGCATTAATTCCACTATTTTTGGGGGAATGGGTATTACACTATGTTAGTAATTTGAAACTATGTAATTAAAATAACAGCAAGAAGTTACATTGGCAAAGCTAAAATGTCAACTGTCTAAGCAGAAGGAAAATACTAATATTTTTTAAAGTTTTCCACAGGTGATCATAAAACATACAGGAGAAGATACAGATCTTCTAAATTAGATAAGGAATATCCACAACAATAGTTAAGTCAAAGATCTAAGGCAAAACATAGAAGCTATTCAATTCTGCTATACTCACCAACAAAAAGCAATATTTCAAATGCTGAAAAGCTCTATAAGTATAAATTCCACAAATGAACATGAGCTAAAAGCTACCACTAAAATAACTAGCCTTCAGGCTGATTTTATTGAAAAAACTGTATTGAAATATATTTTAGCTCTGAGCACCCACAAAGTTTGCTAACTGATGGACCAGTTAATTTCCTCCTGAAATTAAACTCTCAACTCAAGCAATTTGTATAAAAATATTATGCAACTGGCTAAAAGGAAATTTAGACGAAAGATTGTTATCAATGAAAATCCATCACCACTACTAACATTCTCCTCTTGCACTAACGATGTCAACAGCATTTTCTTACAAAAAAAATGACAAATACCTCAACACAAATACATAATCCTACTTCAGACTTAGCTATCAGATGGATATACAGAACTGTTACGTAAACTAATAAGAAACTATCATGTTACTTTCTAATTTATCTTCACTTATGTTACCCAAAGGGATCGATTTTAAGTATCTAAAACCTGAACTGGTTGAATAAAACTTCAGAACATATCTCCTCTCACATTCTGAATGTATCTGGTATCAAATAGTGGTAGAAAAGCTTACTTTTCTGAGAATGTCTTTCAGCTGCAGATGATCGGGAAGCAGTCTGCCCGAATACACCAATCTTTGATCCTTCGTCAACTAAGAAATGGGACAAAGACAAGAATTCAACTTTTCTAATTATACAAATTGAAGGTTGGGAATAACATGCCTAATTATGGGTAAAATAAAACTCCCTTTAGGCACATGTAAGCAGAAAATTGACACAATTTAAGAATTTTTCATTTTCCAAATTCTACTTAAGAAAAAACACTGAGGAGTTCAGCAAATGGTAGCATATCTATTGTCGCTACAATAAAATACAGATTAATTAATACATTTAAAAAAACCTAAGTAGGGGGAAATGTAGGTAAATTGGAAGTCTGTCTTTTCAAGCATAATGCAATGCATATATGACTATCATTAAAAAATCTTCAAGACTATATAAATGAGAAAATGGTTGGCCTTATATTAATCGTCAATAGTAACATACAATTTCGAGGTCATCAGAATCATTTTGCCTTATTTTGTCAATTTTTCATCTAAATGATACATAAGACTCATCTTGTTCTTTACTAATATGCAGAACCATTTATTGGTTTTAATTCAAGAGCCATTTAGATTTAGTTATAAATTTACTTACTATTCTAGTTATTATTCCTGCCACTCTCCCAAATACCTTTGTATGGTTTTCAAAAACACAAGACTAAAGAAAAATCAACACAAGTGCATGGAGAGTCAGACACCATCTCTATGTGCATCCAGAATATAAAATTATTTAAAATTAAAGCATTTGCACATATTCCACATAAGGCCTATTTCATAACTGCAAAACAAGTCAATGTTCTTTGAATTTTATCAAAGCAAATACTAGCTATATCAACAACTGTTAAATATGCCAAATCCAAGCCACAACTACAACAATTTTTAAGACTCACCATGGCTACTACAAAAGGGTCTTCTTATATTAAAAGTAGCCATAACAGAAACTATCATACTAAGATCTGTGGTTCAGGCATCCTTACACACAAAAGGCATAGCTATCCTTCCAAGATACTTAACATTACACATACTCCAGTTTCTCCTGGAAGCATTTTGGAGTGTGCCATTCCTCAAATTCACATGTACAAACTCCTATATATGAATAATCAAATACAATGCACAGAAGGTTTTTAAAAATATATAAGTCTTACAACATATATATAGAGAGAGAGTGGAGCACTGTGGTACTATAAAATATATTTGGTTTTCACGCTGCTTCCTGCTGAATAGCTCCTAAAATCCTTGGAATCTTCAGAAAGATGAGTATCTTTTGCGTGCTAATAAGATAAATGTTGCTGGGGTCCCCTACGTTGCCTCAGGACGGTGGCTGGCTGCCAGGAGAACCAACCAAAGATTAGAAGGTTGGAATTTTCAGTCCCACGCCCACCTCCAATCTCCAGAGAGGGAGAGTTGCTTAAGGTTGAGTTGATAAACCAATGGCTAATTATTTAATCAATCATGCCTACCTAACGAAAACCCAAAAGGACTGAGTTCTGAGGGCTCCAGAATAGTGGAGTAAGTTGAAGTTCCTCCAGAGTGGATGGGCCCAGAAAGGACACAGAAACTCTAAGTCCTTTCTCCCAGACCTTGTCCTCTGCATCTCTCTTCCATTTGTATCCTTTGTAATAATATCCTTTATAAGGGCGCAAATATAAGCAACATGTTTCCTTGAGTTCTGTGAGCTGCACTAGCAAATTAATTGAATCCCAGAAGGGGGGTCACAGGAACCTCAATTTATAATCAGTTGGTCAAAAACACAGCCCACAACCTGTGCTTGGGACCACATATGAAGGGGGGCAGTCTTTTGGGATTGAGCCCTCAACCTGTAGAATCTATGTCCAGGTAGATAGTGTCAGAACTGAATTAAAAGGACATTCAGCTGGTGTCCACTGGAGAATTATCTGCAGAACTGCTTGTTGTTGGAGAGAAATCCCCACGCATTTTGGTGACTAGACATTACAGAAGTATTCTGTATTGAGCGTTGTGAGAGCATTATAGGAGAAACTAAGTTTGTTTTTTTCCTATATCCTTATAGGCACTGAATGGCAAACTTTATGACCGTAAAGTTGAATGCTAAGTATATAATCAATTATTTAATTTCTAGCCAAAATGAATTATCTAATAATGCTTTATAAATCTCTATAATGTACTGATTACAATTGGAACCTAAAGAAGTTTTTTCAATAAGTATTACAGTCATCATAAACTGTCGCTTTTTTACCAGACCAAACATTTAATTAATACTTTTATGTCATATCATCACTCTATATAAAGGACATCAGTCTCTTCTTATGAATTTTTTTCCTTTATAAAAATTATCAAACATACATACAGTGGAGGGAAAAAAAATGAACCCCCGGGCACCATCTTCAAGAACTCCCAAGTACCCAGCTTCAACAACTACCAATATTCTGCTATTGTGTTCTCACCCATCCCTCAATTTTTTCTTTAAAGAGAATACTGTACTTTAATCTTTAAAAATATATATATAGACAGGATCTCACTCTGTTTTCTAGACTGAAGTGCAGTGGCTATTCACAGGTGCGATCATGGTACATACTGCAGTCCCAATCTCCTGGGCTCAAATAATCCTCCTGCCTCAGCCTCTGGAGTAGCTGGGACTCAGATATATGCCACTCCACCCAGCTGAGTACTGTATTTTAAAGCAATATTACACATCACTTCTTTTAACCTGTACAGATTTAGTAAGTTATATGATAACCATGTTACCACATTCAACAAATAATAATTCCTTAATATGTAATATCCAGTACAGCCCAACTCTGCCCACTTGCCCAAAAATGTCTTTTAAATACAGTTTGAATCAGAATCCAAACAAGGTTCACACAGAGATTTTGGCTGTTATGCCTCTTTTAATCTTTTAACAATTTCTAGTTTTTAAAAATTTTTCCGATGCTATTTATTTGTTGAAGAAATTATTTGTCTCATAGAACTTTCCAGTCTGATTACACAAACTGTATCCTCCTGGTACTGTACAGCATGTTCCTATAGTTCCTGTACAATGTAGTTAGCTCTAGAGGGCTGATCAGATTCCAATTCCTTTTTCTTTGACAAGAGGGCTTTTAATAAGGGAGACCTCAAATTGCACCATTTTTGACCAGTAGGAGTTCCTGCTAGGTGGCTCCTGCATCATTTTAACATGATCTCTGTCATCTCTAATAGTAGCTTCCCTGCTCTCAGGGACAAAATGCCCCAGAAGTTCATCTTACACATTTCAGGCCCCAGACCTGTCTTCAGCCACTGCTCCAGGATCCATGACTCATTTTAATGGGAAATGGTATCTGAAGACCAAAATCTGGGAGCTAGGAATACTGACTTTTATTTGTCGTTACTTCTTCAGTAAGCAGAGCCAGAAAATATACATTTTTATAAACAGAAATTTAAATCCTGAGTTCATTTTGACATTTCCCATTAAATTAAACAGTATTCACTCATTTTATTTGTATCTTCTCTCACCCTGAAAATCTTTCTTGCTAATGACACTAATAAATACATGCCATTAGGAAATGTACCTATTTGTTTTAGCCTACTACATGTAATCTCAAAATAACAATAACAAGATTGCTATTAACAATAATGAACTAAGTTTAAGATTTCTTATTGATCTTCTCTGTCCTTAGGATATAAGCCACTAGGGATACACAGTCAAAATACAGTGTTTCAAAGTTACTTGAAATAATAATTCTTGGAACTGTGTCACCATCCTGACATTTTTTAATTCTTGTGTTTCCATTTAGGGATTTTTTATAATTATATATAACAAAAAATGATGATAAGGTAAAAACTATAAATAAGGTACATTCAAAGAGGTTTTAGTTCTGTCCTTATCCCCTCTATGATTTTGGATTAGCCTTACAATGCTTTACAATATAACAAAGCTGAATACACACATATTCCTATTTTCCTCCTTTTCTTACATAAAAAGTAGTACAATACACTTTCTATTGCATCTTGTTTTCTCACTTAATAAATCAGAGATACCACTGCTTAGCAGCATAAAAATATCTTCTTCATACTTTTTAACAAATGCATAATGCTCCATTATAGGAAAGTACTATAGTTTGTTAATGAATATTTGAGCGTTTCTAGGCTTTTGTTACTATGCATAGTGTCCTCCCTTCATATTATTCTATTTATCTCTATATTTCCCCACAGTATCCTGCAACAAGAAGACCATTAATGACATTGATAAAAGTAATCTTAGTGGTGTAGCAGGATAAAAACCTAATTGGAACTGATTCAAAAGAAAAGGAGAGACACATAGAGATAGCAAATATATATAACTGATAAAAGTGCTACACTTAAAGGAAGAAATAGGACAATAGCTAGAAGGGAAATGGGATCAAGACAGGGTCTGGCTTTTGGTGTGTATTATTGTGTGCTTTTGTTTCTTCAAGAGAGAAATAATGTGTTTGTATGCCAGTAAGAGTAATTCAACAGAAAGGAAAAAACTGGGCCGGGCACAGTGGCTCATGCCTGTAATCACAGCACTTTGAGAGGCCAAGGCAGGCCAAAGTCAGGAGTTCAAGACCAGCATGGCCAATATGGTGAAAACCCATCTCTACTCAAAAATATAAAAATTAGCTGGGCGTGGTGGCGCATACCTGTAGTCCCAGCTACGCAAGAGAATCGCTGGAAGCCGGGAGGCAGAGATTGCAGTGAGCCGAGATCAGGCCACTGCACACCAGCCTGAACAACAGAGCAAGACTCCATCTCAAGAAAAAAAAAAAAAAAAAAGAAAAACTTAAATCAGCCAGGCATGGTGGCTCACACCTGCAATCCAGAACTTTGGGAGGCCGAGGCAGAAGTACTGCTTGATCCCAGGAGTTCAAGATCAGCCTGGGCAACATAGCAAGACCCCATCTCCTCAAAAAAAATTTTTAATACAGCCAGGTGTAACAGGGCATGCTTGTAGCTCCAACTACTTGGTAGGCTGAGGTAAGAGGATCACTTGAGCTCAGGAGTTCGAGGCTGCAGTGAGCTATGATCAGTTCCACTGCACTCCAGTCTGGGTTACAGAGAAAGACCCTATCTCAAAG